CACAACAACAGGTGAAAATCAAACATCTTAATTTCAAAGGACCAGTGGATCAAGAAAAAAAATCAAGCAGGAGGTGGCTGAGGGGATCTATGAATCTTTGGATGAATATACTGATCTTCTGAGCTTTCTGAGTCAGCAGAAAGAAGCTTCATATTTTTTGGTTTCTCTTCAGAGAAACAACACATTACCTGTTCTTAGCATCTTTTGCAATCTGGATAGGTTAAGAATTTTTCCAAATTATCGAGTTCAGTTTCCTTTTTGCTTAAGTTGTTCCCCAAATCTATCTCTTTCCTCTTGTATTTTATTACTTGCAGCAAGAAAAACCTAAGCTGGTACTTCAACACTTTTCTTGGATTTTTTTTTTTCAGTGAAATAGACACGTTCATCCATTCCATGTTCTGATTCCCACATGACTGTGAGAAATAATTCAGTTAAATTTTCTTGTCAATGCATAGCAAAGATCCCCTTTCCACCAGTTCTAATAACCTGTTCTTTATTTTCTTCTCAGCTTTCACCAGCTGTATTTTTAATGTTCATATTTTTACTGACAGTTTGATTGTTTGTTCTCTAAAATGATATAGGTTTTCTCTACCACACTCCTCACTTCATTCTGAGTCTTCACCAGAAATGTCAGTGTGTTCAAAGCAACTAGTTTATCCCACATGTCCTTCAAAATTTTCTCAGACTACACCCATTACCCATTTCCAAAGCTACATTTACATATTAAAGTATTTGTGACAATAGAACCCCACTTTTAGTACTAAAATCTACATTAATTTTCTGCTGCTTTGGCAAAAAAATTATGACAAATTTAGTGGCTTATTATCTACAGGTCAGAAGTTGAAAACAAAACAAAACAAAACAAAAAAAACACAAAACCAGCACAGGTTTATTATTCATAGGTGAGCAGAGTTGGATTCCTTTTGAAAGGTTTTGGAGAGAATGTTTCCAGGTCCTTTCCAAATTCCAGGGGGCCAACTGCATTTATTGCCTCCCAACACCTTCCTCTGTCTTCAAACCTGGAATCCTGGACTGTTTTAATCTCAGGGCTCTGACTTTTCTTTCTTATCTCCTTTTCTGATTCTTATTGTCCCTCTTATTCACAAGGGCTTCTGTGGTTACATTATGCCTATAAGAATAGTCCAAGATGATCCTCCCATCTCAAGATCCTTAACTGAGTCCCATCTGCTTTTTGCCATGTTAGATAACATTCACAGGTTCTGGGGATTAGGATGTGGACATCTTTGAATGGCCTTTATTCTGTCTAACACATGTATCTATTTTGAGTCCTAAATTTCAAACCCTGAATTGCTTAGGATTTTGCATTTTTAAATTTAAAATTCTTTTTTAATCACTTAAATTATTATTTATGTTTGGAAGCATTAAATTCTATATTAACCCTTTTTTTCTTAGCATTTCTGCTGTAGCCCCCCTTCCTTTATGCAGAAGTGGTAGAATGTCCTATATGTTGGGAGGGTCAAAATGGGAATGGGGATTGGACACAACTTTTTGATTCTTCAATTTATCTCACCACATTTGCATTTATTGATGTCTAAAATACTCTTTTCCTTTTATAATGAATAAGTTAAAAAACTTCTTTAGGACATTGTTAGTTAAATTAATAGAATAACATAGCAGGAGACTTCTATTGCATTAAATAAACCAAAAAGAAAAATGTTTTCATTAAAAGATAATATCAGTACCTGAGAATAATAAACTGTCAGGGCAATAAAAACCTCATTGCATAATCTTTTTTTGAGGACATCTCTAAGCAGCTTTATATTTGAAGAATAAAATTTTTAGTTGAAATTTCCTCCAACTTGTGGTGGCCCCAACATTTTCCTTGTTTTTTAGCACGAACAATTGGTAAAGATGCAGTGACATTCATGCATAGTCTGATTATTTCTGGACCTCCCCCTTTTCAACAGACAAAATTGCTTTTTTTTCCTAAAGTAAACTCCCTGGCAGCAAAATGAAAATAGAATTTTTACTTCTTTCCACAATCAAATGATCTAGAGAGATTGTTTTTGAATAACTTTAAGGAGAAATCAACCACGTAAGCCCGTGTAGGAAAACAGAAACAAAACCAAATGTATTTTAAGCCTTATAGACCTTATGGAATTTGTCAAAGATGAGGAAACAGATATGTAAAGCCTGTGGTGTTTTTGACCATGGAACTCTGGGGGATTTTGTGGATGGTCCCAGAGACTGCTACAAAGAAAAGAGCCAAGCAGGCAAGTGTTCAATGAGTGCTCTGTTTTATCTGATTTATGTGTTAGTTCTGGATACCCTTTGTTTGAATAAGAATTTTTTTATCAAAAACAGTTGGATAGATATTGCATCAAATAATTTGACCCAAGTCCTAGTAAGTGAGGCCAGGGTAAGGACTGGATCCTAGACATTTCATTCCTTTGCTTAAATCCCTTCAGTGGCTCCCTGTCAACTTCAGAATAGAATCAGTACTCTTTCACCACAACCTGCACATTATTGGTGACCTGACCCTTGCCCATCTCTTCAGTTTATTTCTTGCTCTAGAGTCTTCTTAATTCCCCAAGTTGTGTATCTGGAGAGTTCCTCTCTGTCCTGTCACTTGGCAATCTTCATAACTTCTCTGTGATAGTATTCACCCTAAACATATTCTATCCATTGTCACTTAAATCACCTTAAACCCTCTAAATTTACCTCTGCTGCTATCTTAATTGGAGATTGATATTATTTTGGTAGGCAAAATGATGCAGCAACCTTGATCTATGTAACAAAATACAAAATATTTGTCATTGTAGGGTTTTTCTATTTGAATAAGTTTGTACAACATCATACTCCATCTGAAGCAATGCATCTTGACACTGAGGTTCTATACCTAGGCTTTTTTTTTGGTACTGGGGATTGAACTCAGGGGCACTCCACCACTAAGCCACATCCCAGCCCTATTTTGTATTTTATTTAGAGACAAGGTCTTCACTGAAGTGTTTAGTGCCTCACTGTTACTGAGGATGGCTTTGAGCTTATCAGAAATTGCATGTTATCAATACTTGTAAAACCTTATTGACTATGATTCATTTGAATGAAGAAAACAATTGGTTACTTCCTTTCCGTTGTCTTATTTTCCAGGCAAAAAGAACTTGATGACACAGAATTGAATACAATAAAAAAAATGACACAAGGCAAATGATAAATGAACGAGTAACCTAACAACAATTTTACAATAGGTAACAGCAATTGATAACTTCCAGCAATGGAAAAAAAGAAGTAATAATTCACTGAGAGTTATCCATGATGCAGGCGGTCAGCAGCCCCATAGGTTCATAATAAGCATTCAGCTTTAACTCCACAATGGGACAAAGCACATTGCTAAGGTGTGCTCCCCTTGGCTTTGAGGACTGGGAAGATCAACACAGTCCCTGCTTCACACTCTAAATTAAACCCACCTACTTATCAATTTACATTTTAACATTGACTGAATAAAGTCCAAGAATGTTTACCTGCTCATTTTATTTATAAGAAAAAATGCTGTATAAATATTTATAGATATTTATAATTAACATACATATATAAATTAAATTTTGTAATTTAAAAATTACACATATTGCAACATAGTATGTATAGATCAAACTATTGAATAGACTTAATAATACTTTATTCCCTTAACACTAGAAAACTGTCTAGATGTATTATTAAATTTTCTTTCCTTCTTCATCCTTTCTTTTTCTTCCTTTTCCTTATCTTTACTTCATTTCCTAGTTTTTTTTTAAAGAAAATGACACTGCTTGATTTTGTCCACTACACATTATTTTAATTTGCCATAATTCATGTGAGCAACACGTAGAATGCTACTCTTAAGGGTGAGGAAAAGCAGCTTCTGAATGTGGTTCATAAAACTGGTGAAAATCCTTTGCCAAGACACATTCCTTAGAGAAATTGTCTGTTCTTTTTCCTCAAGAATTCCTCCCAAAGAATGCTAATCTTAATGTATGCCAAGACACACTGACAAGTTCATACCTGGGCTCAGAAGAATAAATCTAATTAGTGTGCATGAAGAATATCCCAATGCAGGAATTATCATAACTAAATAAACATAGTAAAACAAATTTATTGGCTTCCCTTTTGAATAGCTTTTCAAACAATTGACTTGTGTGGAAACTTGTTTTATAATGTATTAAAATTTCATAAGGGAATACTTTGTTTAGATCCTAAATAAAGAATTTCATAAAATTTAGAAGTTTGCATGTTAACATAATGCTATAATAAATAGAAAATATGCATCTCATAGCAATGTCTTAAGTAAACTATTATCTTGGTATTTAGAAATTTTTTCATAGTTGTATTTAAAATATTTAGCTTAATTTTCCATGAATATTTGTATGCTTTTTGTACTATTTAATTTAATGTTTTTATTGTTTGTGAACTTTAGTACTGAAAAAATCTAAACTAAATTAGAATGTGTAAGCAAATATTTTCCGTAAAGCTTGTATTCAGTGAATTAAATCATATCAAGTTTTTTTTTCAGCTATCTTCTTCAAACTCTGTACATAAAGAATCTAAAAAATTGGAGAGTTTTCCAAAACTGGAGAGTTTTCAGTTTTTTCTCCAGTTATTTTAAGAGCTTCAATATTTTTTGGGAAAGGTAACTTTAATTGTACATTATATTATTATATATATTAACAATTATATAAAACTACTATATACTAATAAAACAAATTTTAAAATACTAAAAAATTTTTTAAAGAAAAAGAGCATTGTTGATTTTTGAATATGTCATATGCAAAAAGTTGAATGGGAAATCAGATGGCATAAGTAATTGAACATGAAGCAAAAGCTAAATGACTAAAACAGGTTATTCTTCTATTCTTCAGCTTGTCTTCACCATCTGTTGGACTATTGGCAGCTATGGTTCTGCTTCATAGTTAATAATCTTAACCAACAAGGCATTAACTGCCATTTGATGAAGATTGTACGGATAGAAATAACCTATGATAATCTATAATAATCTTGTCTTACAGGGTCAGTCTGGGCCAGACATCTTGAAGAATAGTCAAGGTAGGTAGAAACATGGGACTTCTTATTTACTTCCTCAGCTGACTTTACAGAGCAATATTACTTCTTATTTCAATTTCATGACAGTGTCTTTCATGTTAAAATAACAATAACATAAACAATAACAAACAATAAACAATAACAAAACTCTACCCCTCTTTTCATCTTTTCCTGTAGAACACTTTTCAAAGAGATCCTGTTCCAATGCAATGTCTTACACATTGCAGAGGCTAAATAATACATGTGGTATGAATGATTTGGATTAGGGTTAATTAGGGATGAGGAAGTTTTCTGAGCATAGAAACTACTGTGGAGGGAAGGTCTAGAGATAAATATCAAGAGCTCTGAGTCCTGGGTCTGACCTGCCACTAACCCTCCTTGTGTACAGAGACATGCACATAAATTTCTGTGTCTAAATGGTTTAAAAAATTCTAAGTGTCTCATTTTTGAGGTTCTAAATTTTTTAGAAAACAAATTTTATATCTATTAGAATATTTGTAATGTGCAAATCAATGGGATTTATAGAAACAACTTCTTTCCTGTATTGAATAATTTCTGTGGTTACAATGGTGAGAGTTGGGGTGGATGATACCGGAAAATTGCTGAAGTGACTTCCTTTGAAGCAGTTTGGCAAATATCTTAATGATACAAGGCACAAAACCCCATAAAACTAATAACAGAGGGCTTAAAGTTTAATCATAGACTTTTAAACTCAAATGCCAAAATATTCCTTTAAAGTAAATAGTAGAAGGGATAATTGGAGATAGTGACAATGTCAAAATCAACTTTAAATACTAACCAATTGGATGGAAGCTATCCTTGGAAATATCCAACTTGTTTACTGGAACTAAGAGAAGGTTGATGTATTTGATAATATTTACTTTCAGATAAATATTTGAATAGTTATTTAAGAATTCATATGTTAATAAAAAAAACCACAGGATGTTTGCTCAATTATTGTATTTTCCGAGATTATATTAAGATTTCCAAGATTTTGTCTTTGATATTTCCATTTTTTTTGCTGTAATTTCTAAATCTGACACGAAGAGTAATATAATAGAAGACTAGATAAAACATTACATACCCCAGAGGCCATGAGTCTGAGAAGAAGCATAGCTGTGAATATATCTATAAAACTCACATTTGTTGTTACTAAGAGAAAATAATTAAAATACATTTTATTGCCTTGGTTATATATACTTATTTTTTCACTATTTTCTTCTTATGGAATTAGTTATCAAAAATGAAACCATCATACAAATGTTTGTGATAAAATGAGAGAGCCTCCTCTAACTCCAACAGTTGGAGAAGATCTAAGCACATTAGCAGATTCATGTACATTCCTCTTGATATTTCCTTCTGTGTATATATCAATAATGCAGTGCATGACTTGATCATTGAAATTCTGGGTCATGGGCAGAGATGATAGAAAATAATTCTGGGTAGCTGAAAATCTGTGTAGTGCATAAAATTAACTGCTTATAAAAACGAAACACAAAACTCAGCTAATATATTCTATCTTTGAAATATTTTAATGGTTTTCATAATAGTAAATGCTCAGTTCACATGGACTATTATGTGAAGTTATTATTGCTAAATGCCTAATCTTTTTAACCATTACCATTACTCTGTGAAAAAGATACTGGTAATTATCTCCTCTTTTATTTGCATTTCATGTCCAGAGGGAAAGATAACCTAGTTCATGGTAGCTAGAGGGCACAGAGCATAGAATCTGCCTGCACATTCACCAGTCACAGAGTTCAGAGCTTCTTTGCTCTCAGGCTGTAGATCCTTTTGTCAATCTACAGAGTTCATTAGTTCATCATTCTGTTTCCTGGAGAATGGATTCAAAATTCATTTTATTATCCATCATGTCTCTGATTATTTTCCAACCATATTTGCTCACTTGAATCTCTGATGCTTTATTGTGCTCCAAATAAACCAAACTGCTCAGTGATTTAATATATTCCCAGGTCCGCTAGCTTTTGTTTCTCATGTGTTTCATATGTGTATATATGAAACACATGAGAAACAAAGTTTCATACTGTATCAATCTACAGTAAATGTACTGACCCTAGAGGGGCAGCCCAGTTACCAACCAATTACTAAGCATTCTTCGGTCATCTTCATGGAAATGCACTTTCCTCTCATACTACTATAGTACTTTTTCTTTTTTATCGTACTTACCACATATACCTAATTTCAGGTTAACTTTTAGAAGCTTCATCCATATGCTAGTTCAGATTCAAGCTTTTTGCAAATTCATCTCCAAAATCATCTGTTGTTCTACTTTACATATAATGTGCTTGATAGAATCTTGTTGAATTCAATTTCCTGCCTGTATGATGGTGAGTACATTAGGAGCAGAGGATTTGAAATTATTATTATTATTATTAAGATTATTCAATCTTGCATTATAGTGTATTTTGTAACATATGAGGAAAATTGAGTACAGGCAGAATTAAAGTTAGATTAGGAACATTTTTTCTGTAGATGTTTATGACCATGAATAAGACCGTATTAGCCTGAGACACAATTTTTATTAGAGCTTTATAGTTATACATACTTGTTGGGTTCATCCCAACAAACTAAAACATACTTGGAATTTGATTTCTGGGAAAATTTTTATGGTCACTAGTATCATAATTAAAAAATTAGGGAGAAATATGAGATGGCATTGTTGCCCTGTAATAATGTAGCAATGGAAGTAAGCAGGATACAGAAGCTGAATGCTGATTGCTTCAGCTAGATAACAAGGCAGGTTGCACAGAGATCAGGAGCACTGTCCTAGCCATTTTGAATCAGAATAACACATGTACTCTTAACAGTATAACATGTGGCCTGATTAACTTGGGAAGGTCCAGGATGGTCTCATATCAGGTAACATCAATAGCATAAAACACTTCCAAATGTAGGGCTTGAATTTTAAGATCATAGCATTTAGAGTCGGCTAGGGCCTTGGGCAACAGCTCTGATTTTATGATAAGACCAAGAGGAAATTTAGTACAATCAGGTTAATCCAGTTTGATGTCTGTTCTATGAGATGCAGTTCTAGAAATGGAGCATATAAAAGTGATACAGATTTTATCCTTGCCCTTAATTTGAGTCAGGAATATGAACTGATAAATTTAAAGCAAAAGAGTCTGATAAAGGCAGGCACATCTTATTATAGGATTTAATAGCTGAAATATGGTGCCAGCTTTGGGACAGTGGGAGGCAGTTCTCAAGAAAGACCCCCTGGGGGAGCTGGCACATGAATTGGATCTTGAAGTATTCACAGAAAGCAAAGAAGGCAAGTAGGGAAGGACAGGAAGAATAAGGAAGGGGTGTGGGCCACATAAAGACATGACACAGAATCATGCTTTGGGAAAGTAGAATAAATTCTGTGTGGCGCAAATATAACATGTAGTATAGGGAGGATTTAATGGATGGTCTGAGTGTGGTGATGGCTATGGTAGACTAGTTTGATATGCTGATAGACCCATTTGACACACTTGTGGTAGTGGGGAAAACTTAAAATTTTTTAGCTCTTTACATTATTCATCTGCTTTTTAAAGGCATCTAGAAGTTTGTCCCCTGTTTTATTTAAGACTTAGAATGTCTATTAAACCTTTCCCCTAAACAAGCAATACTACTTGACCTATATTTGCCTTTCTAAAGAATGCTATTCTTAATATTTTGAAGTTTTTAACTCTTTAAACAAGGACATTTTTTGTGGTTTGAATATACAGTGTCTCATAAAAGCTCAAGTGTGAGACAACACAAAAATGTTCTGAAGTAAAATTTTTTAATTAAAAGAACTGCAACCTAATCAGTGGATTAATCCACTTGAATGGATTAATTGGGTGGTAACTGTAGGCACACAGGGTTATGGCAAGAAAAAGTACATCCCTGGGCACATGCCTTTAGGGTTTATATTTTGTCCTTGGTTAGTGGAGTTCTCTCTGCTTTGTAGATAATCGTGAACTAGCAAATTTCCTCTGTCTCACATCATTTCACCATGTGGTATGATGTTCTGTCTCACATCAGGCTTAGAGTTATGGAGCTGGTAAATTCTGAAAAAATGAGCCAAAGTGAATTTATCCTCCTCTAATTTGTTCTTCTGAGTTATATTGGTCACAGTGACACAAAAGTAGACTAATGCAGAAATTGGTACTGGGAATGGGGCAATTACTGTGACTAACTTGATCATCTAGTTTAGAAGCATTTAGAACTGGTTTGTATTAATATTTTGGGAAAAAAATGGAGATACAGACCAGTGAATTCTACAGGACTTATAATGTTGTAAGCAGAGCTGGATGGGTTATTCTAGGGGGAATTAAGAAGAGCAGAATGCCAACAGGACTGTAGACTGAGCTCATGAGGAAAAGGAGACTCTATTGGAAATAGGATGAGAGGCCATTCACACTACAGTTTTGCAAGGAAGTGGTCTAAATTTTACCCATGTCCTAAGACTTTCTTTGAAGCTGAATTTTAAGGTGATGAACTAAATAATCTGGCAGAGGAAGTTTCAAGGAAGCATTGTATTCAGGCAGTTGCATGGCTATTGCTGGAAGCTTTTAGCCAATCAGGAGAAGATATCAAAGTGGAAAGATTTTAATAGCTTGAAATTTGGCTAAAAAGGTGAATGTAAAACTGTGGTTGAGGACATTGTGGTTATTGAAGAGATTGTAGCCACCAAAGATATGCTAAGTACTTTATACAGAGACACTATGGAAGATGACTTGAAAGCATCTAAGGAATTGGCAGGAAGTCATTCATTTCAAGCTCAAGGGTGTAAAAGTAAAGATCCCTTGGAGAAGGAACTATGGGGTACCCCACTTACACTGAGGGTATTGGAAAGTTGTTTCACTATGTCAGCTGCTCTGGCACTCAGAGGCTGCTGCAGCCATAGCCTCAAAAAACCTGGGTACTGTTTCAAATGGCAGCAGACCTTGGCATCATTTATATGGTGCTGACTTTATAGGAATGCAGAATCCTAAAGTTAGCAGGAACATTGAGATATCCACCAAGATTTCAAAGGAAGGCCTGGAAAGGCCAGGTGAAATGTAGCAAGATTAGAATATGTGCAGGCAACCCCTGAGTGGACAATATGTGAACTTGGGAAAAGAAAGCTGAAGTTTCAGTAGAGATCCTTGAGATTAAAACATGCCAGTAACATAGAAGGTCTGCCAAGGAAATCTGCAGAAACAAGCCAAGAGAGAGGCTGTGTGGGCTACAACCAGCAAGGCCATAGGGGCAGAGCTACATAAGCCCTTTGGAGAGAAAAATCACATTGATGTGTGTCCCAGATGGTGAATGTGGAACTACATAACTTGTTTGCCCAGCTAGGTTTTAGTCTTTGGTTTTATGCCTTCTTTCTATGCCTCTATTTCTCCCTTTTGTAACTAAAATTTTTGCTCTGTACCATTATACATTGAATATATATGTAACTTGCTATTGATCTTTACATGGGAAAACATACCAGAGTTAAAGTAGGTAAAACTATCTTATTAGCAACTTTTGTGACTTTTATGCATACAAACTTCCAAAGACTCCATTGAATGTTTTGTTCATATAATATGATATACTAAAAATTGCCTGGCTAAAAGGTAATATATGAAAAGTCAATAGCCATCATGTTTATAAACACCAATAAATTACAAAATGCAACAGGGAGTTTCCATTCACATTAATACTAAAAAAAATGTACCTGGAACAAACTTGGCAAGATATATGGAGAACATATTTGAAGAAAGCTTTAAAATCCTTTCAGGCCTATAAAAAAATGGAACTGAATAAATGAAAGACATACCCAGTAGTTACCTAGAAAAAACTTCATGCCATAAATATATTACTTCTTTCTAAAAATGTATGCATGAGTCTCTTTGTCACACCATCACAGATATTAACCCAACACCATTTTCAAATGTCTTCTGTTTTTATTGTGTCTTAGAGGCTGGGAAAGCTAACCATCTCTTTTTTTATCCTTTCTGGAAGTGAGCAGGTGACACTTGTCTGTTGATATCTAAACAATAGTTAGATAGGATGCCTGTGCTGTGGGCTTATGTTGCAGGCATGAGGAAAGGGTTATGGGACTTGAGAGCCATTGGCTTAACATCTAAGGGCTGTTGAACCAGGCCAGCAGCCATCTTCCAGACTTGAAAGCAAAGGAAACAAACTTTGAGTACCACAAATGCTCTTCTGTTATGTTAAATACAAATTTTCCTAACTGAATTAATGCCAATAGGAGCTTTTTAAAACCAAATGCAAACCATAAAATTAACATATGAAAATAACATGTAAAAATTTTGAGGGAAATTTTGAAAAACAAGAAATACTATTTCTACAAGATAAGTAGAACATAAAGCTATAGAAATTAACACTGTTAAGAGTATACAGACCTTTAACATGGTAGAAAAAAAAGAAGTAATTAAAAAATTACAATACATGGAAATATGTACATGGAAATATGCTTAAGTACATGGAAAATATGCTTCATTCATCACTTGAAAAAATAAAATTAATAAGATTGTAATTTTACCCATCAGTTTATAAAAAATTATGATGTGTATATATATACACACATCCTTAGGGGCAGAAGAATATATATATAAATTTGTTGTTTTTTGTTTGTCTGTTTTTTGGTGAACATATAAAAATAGCACAGTATCTACAAGAGAAAAATTTTGGCAATATTTACCAGGAGTAAAATTTAATTATATATCTTCCTCAAATATATGCTTTCAACCCATAAAATAACATACACACAACTGTGAATATATATGCACATATGTACATATATATACACACATACACACATATTTATAGTGTAACAAAGTGTCACAGATTGTTCAGAATGGCTTGGTTTTTCTCTGGGTTATGCAAGAGGCAGTAGATTTTTCAGACTGGATTTGAACCCAAGAAGATCCAATTAAAAACCAGTAGTTTTCTGGAAGAAAGGCAATCCTCAGCATCCCCTCAAGTCAGCATTTATTCTAATGTAAACTATTTGAGATTAAATGTTTCTGATTATTATGGCCACATGAATTTTATGAGATTTTTCTAATATGATTGTTGAAAAGATTGAGGAAAAATCCATTTTGAAAGAGGGCTCCCAGACAAATATATAAATAAATATCTAAAAATTGAGGCATCAGAAATGAACACCCTTAAAATCATCTCTGCCTAAACATTCCTTAGAAAACATTCAGGTATCCTGGGACTACATATAGTTCAGTTTCAATACTTTTAAATAAAATAACATTTTTGTATGTATATCTTTCTCTACTGAATATCACAAGTAGGAAAAGGCTATTTACGTCTTATTTTCTGGAAAACTTTAATTTTTTATTGTGTTTTGTTAAATGCCCCCCTCTTCTAAATTCTTCATATTTCTTTCCTTCAGGATTGTCTTTACTATTTACTCATACAATGGCACATAGGCACGGATGGATGAAGAAATAAATACTATTTTCTAATCAACCATCTCTCAGCAGGAATGCGGCCATGACAACAGTGCTTTGAAGGAACAGTTCCCTTTATCAGCAAAGTAGGAGGACCTCTTTGGTCTTTATGGTGACCCTATCCTAGAGGTATCATGTTTCAATTCCAAATTTCTCAGTTTTAAAATTGAAATCTGATTGTTTTGCTAGTTTTAAAATAAAGATCACCAAGGCACTATGAATGTGTATAGAAAAGCATATATGTCTGCCTGTGTGATGGAGAGATCCAGGACTTCCTTTTAAAGATAAAAAACCACTGCTGGTTGAACACCAAGCACTGTAGATGTTGACATAAATTATGATATTAATGTAATTTGCTAGAAATAACTTGGCAACAAGTTTGGGAGAAAGCACATTTTTAAGAAAAGCTAAGAATAAATATATCATTTTATACTCATCATTTTGGAATGTGTAGAAATTCAGAAAGTGAATAATTTATAGTCATCTTTCATATGAAGAAGTAGAACAAAAAATGGATTCTTTATGTTCCTTAATATGAGAGAAATAAGATAAAAATAATATAGCTATTCTCTTCAGAAATACTTGTGCATTTAAGAATAACTAATATATTTTCTATCCAGTAGAGAGCAGTCAAAGTCCATGATGCTGGATTTATTAATCCAGGTCTCAGAGTTACAGGCTCTAGACTGTTAACATTGAACCATTTCATCAGGTCATAGCTGGGTAATAATATGCTAGAAAATTGGCTCTGTATACTGTCTTCTGTATGGTATTCCTGCTCATACCTGTAATTTATATTAAATGAGGTATTTATACATAAATTTATGTGAAAGCTTATTTGGACACAAAGGTATATGACCATCTTGTACTCAATTACCATGCTTTAAGAAATCTGCAGAAATACAAACTATGGTATTAGATGGAGTTGTTAATATAGTGATGAATGCAAAGCATGGCAGCAGGAAAATTTCACTTCCATGGAAAAGAATAACCTAAATGCCACAAGATAGGCAAGATTTATAACTACCAGTAGCTAATGTGTGACATGGGAATGTTAGCAAAATACAATAATTGTTGACTGATAGAAAAATCAAGGAGAAATTAAATTAGGAATAACTAAGAGAATATGGTCTAAAAGAATATATATGAAGGCACCAAACTCCAAATTGCATCTTCATGATCTTTTTTCTTTGTTTTAAATGGCAACAATATTTGTATGTATATGTGTACTGTATGATATATATTTATATATGTATCACTTTGTAAATTTTCATATCTATATATAGTATGATAATCAAGTCAGAGTAAAAGCACTTCTATCTCTTCAAACAATAATAATTTTTTATGTTCTGAGAACTTTAGTGCTTTTCTTTTTTCATAGATTGTTATAGATAATAGCTTTCCTACTATTCTACAGAAAACCAGAATTAATCTGTCCTTTGTCCCTCCCCTAACTTGTTTTAGTCCACCAATCCCTCTCCCCTTTCTATTTTCCACAAATTACTGTTCTACTCTGTCCTTTTATGAGATTAACTTTTTATTTTTCTCAAATGAGTGAGAGCACGAGGCACTTATTTGTCTTTCTGTGCTTATTTCACTTGACATGATGAGCTTTAGTTCCACCATGTTGCTTCAAAGATTTTTTCTTTTTATGTCCAATTAATATTCCACTGTTTAATATATATATATATATATATATACATATATGTATATATGTATATATATATAAAATCTCACAATTTTATGTATATATAAAATCATATTTTTTTGGAAATTCAGCCGTTGATGGACAACTGGGTTGATTCCATATCTTGCAAATAGTGCTGCAGTGAACATGGGCATACAGGTATCTGTTTGATTAAACTATTTCATTTCATTTGGATATATATTCAATTGTGAGCACTGAATCATATGATAGATCTACCCTTAGTTTTTAAGGGACACTCCATACTGTTTTCCATAGCAGCTATATTAATTTACATTTCTACCAATAGTAGATGGTAGAAAGCCAAGACTTCCCTTTGATTCACATCTTTGCTAGCACTTGTTATATTTAGTTTTTTTTTAAATAGACATTCTTACTGAGGTGAAATAATATCTAATTGTGGTTTTTATCAGCAACATTTTTGTGTCAGTTAAATGTAATAGTGGGGCTCAATAGAGTATATTCATAAATGCATATAACATAATTTGCTCCATTTTGTTCCCCAGCACTTCTCATTTCCCTCTTTTCATCCCTTCCCATGATTCCCTTCCTCTATTCAATTGGTTTTCCTTCTATTTATTTGTTTTTAATTGATACATTATAAATATACATAAAAGTGAGATTCATTGATATATTCATACATGCACATAACAGTTTGGTTGATTTCATTTCACAACTCCTGCCCTTTCCTACTTCTCCTCCCTCCCTGCTCAGTCTCCTGACTTTACTCTATTATTCCTCCTTCTATTTTCACAAGATCCCCTAGTTTTTATTCCTGATTTCTTTCTTGCTTCTGCACATGAGAGAAAGCATTTGACCTTGACTTTTTTGTGTCTGGCTTGTTTTAGTTAGTGTGATGTTTTCCAGTTCCATCCATTTACCACAAATGACATAATTTCATTATTTTTTATAGCTGAGTAGAGCTCCACTGTGACTATATTCTTTATCTATACGTCTGTTGATAAACAAGTAGGCTAGTTCCATAACTTGGCTTTTATGAATTGTGCTGTTATAACACTGGAATGCAGGTTTCACTATTGTGTGCTGATTTTAACTCTTTTGTATAAATATGAAGAAATGGGATAGCTGAGTCAATTGGAGATTCCATTCCTAGTTTTGTGAGGAATCTCATATTGATTTCCACAGTGATTGTACTAATTTTCAGTCCCACCAACAGTGGATAAGTATTTCCTTTTCTCCTCATCCTCACCAGCATTTATCATTATATATATTCTTGATGCTGCTTGCCATTCTAATTGTGGTGAGCTGAAATACCAGTATAGTGTTGATTTGCATTTTCCTGATTATTATGGATTTTGAATACAAGCTCACATATTTATTGACCATTTTCATTTTTTGTTTTGAGAAATACTGTTTTAGTTCATTTGCCTACTTACTCATTGTAGTTTTAATTTTAATTTTTCTGATAATTATTGATATTGAGCATTTTTTAGATATATTTGTGGACCACTGATATGTTTAGAGAAATGTCTATACAGAGCTTTAATCAGTTTTTGTATAGAATTATTTGGCATGCTGAGTTTGAGTTCCTTATGTATTCTATAAAATTAATTTCTCATCAGATATATAATTTACAAATATTTTCTCTCATTCTGCAGGTTCTTCCTTTACTGTTGATGGTATCCTTTGCTGTGCATGAGCTTCTTAGTTTAATATGATCCCATTTGTATGTTTTTACTTTTACTGCCTATGCTTTTGGAATTCTAGCCAAAAAATCATTGCCCATAGCAATGCCCTGAATTTTTCCCCTATATTTTCCTATAGTAATTTTATGGTTTCAGGTCTTTCATTTAAGTTTTTGATCTATTTTATGTTGACTTTTGTGTATGGCAGGAGAAGGGATCTATTTTCATTTTTCTGCATGTGTGTATTCAGTTTTGCTTTCTTTTGTTCTTTCAATGTGCCAGAGGAGATTAAAATATGGAAAGCTATTATTAGTTATACAACCAGAGGGCATATCATCATCTTCTTCTTCTTCTTCTTCTTCTTCTTCTTCTTCTTCTTCTTCTTCTTCTTCTTCTTCTTCTTCTTCTTTTTTTTTAGATATCTATGTTTTGATTCATATAGCATGGAATTTTTGAGGGCAGATCACTTCTTTTCTGGTACAGCATGTTATCAGAAAATGCTGTGTACTGCACAAATGAGAAACTATGATTAGTACCTAGAAATAGGGCAAATCTGGTCCTAAGAGCCAGGATCAGAATCAGTGGCAAAAAAAGGTGTTTTGAGTGATTTTTAGCTCTTTATCTCTCTAGAAATCTCCATTAGCTCTTCAACCTACCACTTGATTTGGATAATGAATTTCCCTCTGATTTTATTTAAAATATTATGCATACGCAGCCTCAAAACAACTCAGCTAGCCACTCTTTTCATTCTGACCGCTTCTCTAAGCTTTTTCTAGAGATAAATATGTATGAGGATAGAAGTGATGACAGAGTTCAATAGGCAAGACCGTGTTCTGAAACTCAAGTTGGAGATTAGATTTGGGCTTGGGGGAGATCACCCTATCTAAAAGGAGAACAAATACAAGGTTTTGATATGAGATAATTTATTTCTAGGTCAGGTGAGGGACCTGAGGAACTATTCTCAGATGAGGCCTGGAGCCAAAAGAAATTTCAAGGAGGCTAAGTTATAGGCTTTGGTATATGAGAATATGTGCCATGATGAGAGGAAACTATGAAAAATGACTTCACATTTTCTGGTCTATAAAGGAAGTCATTTGTGGAAGAGAAAGGAGAATCCAACTATAAACATGTAGAGGTCTCAGTGGTCTTCTCTTATTTTAGATGGATATTGTTTAGATAGTTTTAAATGTGGGTTGAAATTTATGTCAGAGATTATAGTTGGAGGCACATATTTAAATATAGTTGAAAGGTAATACTCTTGTCTTTATCTTCTTTCCTACAACCATATTTCCATTTATTTGTTCCTTTGACAAACACAATGTGGGTTGGGATTTTTGCCATTACTTTTAGTTCAAACTAGTGTAGCATCTTAACATTAACGATGCATCTCTTTCCTAAGTCTTGTACACCTGGACAGGCATATGCCCGCAGATGATTCAAGGAAGCATAGGCTATAGTATTCTTTCTGCCCCAATAAGTTCTTTCAAAACCTCATGGCAAGTTTGACTAGTTCTAGAAATTTGAGGGCAAAATACCTGGAAAAAAACTTTCTTTTTTCTTTCAAAGGAAAAAAAACAAATCAAAATAAATATTTTTTTGTACATTGTATGTACAAAAAAGCAACCACATAAATAAAATGTTTTTATGATTTTTTTTAGCAGGAATGTATGCTGTCATCCAGAATATATTTAATATTTTCTGGGAGTCTATATATAAATGGTAAAAACCATTTGTTTATTTTTTTCCAGAAAATATTTGATGACCTTTATTTTGATCTCTAGAAAAAGAATGGTAGGGAAATCATTAAAAAATAGATAAAAATCCAAATATACAGCAAAATACATACTAACCAATAAATTTAAGGTGATTTTTAGGTAGAGTTATGAGTGCGGAACATAACATGTAAGGTGGAGTAACCTAGTAGAGGGTTTCAGGATGGTGGGTTTGAGTTGGAAGGGGTAGTCAATAAATGAGTGAATTTAAATTGAGAACTGAAAGACAAGAATGCACTAGCAATGTGAGGACATGGTGTCAGCGTTCCAGGGACAGAGAAAAGAAAGTACTAAGACTCCAAGGTAGAGACACATTTGTCAATTCAAGGAACATAAAGAAGGACAATGTGGCTAAAGTTTAGAAGGAGGAAAAAAAAGGACGGAGATGTGGTTGGACAAGCAGCTGGAGAAAAGACAGATAGGATCTGTGGGCTATGAAAGCCATGATTATATTCCCAATGCAGTGGGAATTTATGTAGAAGAGTAAGATATTATGGTAATTCTCATTAATTACCCTTTTAGCAACAATGTTGTTTTCATCATGCATGAATCTATGTTTCCATTTGAAAAAGTTAAATAGCTTTTATGTTCTAGGATTTTTGTGTTAGAATATCCTAACATATGGTCAAAAATATATACACTGTAGTGTATTAATAGTATGTAAAAAATATAATAGGTTCACATTGTTCCTCATAGTCAATACAAGCTTGTGCTTCATTTCATGTTTTGTTGACCCAGTGAGATTGTGTGGGAGATTGTTCACCTTTGCCAGGCAGAGCCGTAACATAAAGACAGAGACAGGTCAAGATAAACATGCTATCATTGAGTGATGTGTTCTTGACTAATCTCTCTCACACATACAAAGTCATAAAATGGGTGTTTTAAAAACTATGACCTGCACCCCAATGTGAATTAAAATATGCTTTTTAAAACTGGCACTGGAAACCTGTAGGACTATTTTAAGGGTTGGGAAAATAGTTCAGTATTTTCATTTGATTTCCCTTCAGTTAAATGGACTTTAAAATGATTTCCACAAATGATTTGGCAAGGCCTTCTATTTAACAATCAAAAACATTCTGCCCATAGCAAAACAGTTTTTCCTTCTATGTTGGATTGGAGCTGACATCTTCCAATGTGAATTTTGGGACTAATGCTTTTCCATTCAAAAAACAAACTGTGCTGAGACTGTGTTCTGTTTGGAAGCATAGAGGATTTTGCATGTTTGGGGCTATGATGGGGGCATATGGGGTTCTTGATTCTTGAAGGTTCTACACCAAAGCCTCTTTGAACGGGAAGGTGTTTGAGTGGGAAAACTGATCTTCTCAGAGACAGGAAATTATGCAGCTCAAATCCCAGGAGCTGTGTTTCTGGAGGTTCCCTGCTTGAACCTGAGATGAAAGGGTTAAAAGAAAAAAATGACCATGTTTTAGCATCTTACTCTATTCCCAGAAATGAACTCTAAATGGAACTCTGACCATTGAGAATACAATTAGTCAAGAAATACATTGTAAGTAATGCTTCTTAAACTTGATCTTCTAAATTAGTTGTTTTATATATATTTGTACATGTATATCTTCATACATATGCATATGTATAGTCAATTCCTGTTATTTGTGATAGTTATGTTCTATAAAATTGCCAGAAATACTGGATTAGTTAATGTTGAACCATTGTGCTGGGGAGGTTCTAACCGGTTTCTGATTAAGACGTGTTCATCAAATGATCAATACCGGACCTTGTTTTACATGCTTTTCTGTTTAGATAGCATATTTAATATTATTTAGTGATTCATTATTACTGAATTCAGAGCCAGCAGCATTAAATTCATGATTGAATGAAACATGTCTGGCACATGTAGTTCTCTCTAAGGTACTTCACAGCCTTCTTGCCCCTAGGAACTGTACCTAGCACTTCAGAACTATTTTTGGAGCCTATTTTAAAAAGCAGAATCACCAAAAAGAGTCCCTAAATGAACAAAAAATGTAGCACTAAAAAGACCATGATAAAAGACACTTATTTACACCAGGAGGGCTAAAACTAGAAGGCAAAGCATGGTATTGTTCAACATTTGCTGAAAACACACCTGTGGGGACAGACAATTTTTTTGACTCTGCACATGTCTATAAATGATGGTGTAAGTCCTCCTCATGTTGCTTTTCCAGTTAAATTATATATTAGGGAGTAGGTAAATTCACAAATACTGATTCTAGGAGTAGTGAGAATTGATTGTGTATACGAATACATATACATACAAATATAAGTTTCACTACTGTATTCAGTTTACCATTAGTTCTAGTAGGAAAAAATACTCATTTTATGCTTTCTCTGAATTATTTTCTAAGAGTGATATAATGAGAAAGATTGTTGTAAAAGTATGTTCTGAATACATTTTTATTTTTTGCTTTGAAACTGACATTTTATTCTTTATAATCAAAGTGAAAAGCATCAAATGATCTATGGAAGAATAGCCATAAAGTGTCAGTTCCCATCTGCAAATGTACAAAGCAAGCCAGCCTTTTTTTCCCCCCTGATAACCTGGGAGAATAATTCAGAAATATATCAAGTAGATTTTTCAGCAGAAACTTGGAACATATTGATTTTCAATCCCACTCATATAATTGAAATATAACACCATTGAAGACAGCTTGTTTTTTAACTTAGTGGTTATTTTCCCTCTTAAAATACGAATATGATTTCATTCTCTATAAATCAATAAAAACTTGAGTTGTTTTTTTTAAATGTTTTTTATAAAGGAAATTACATCATAATAGTAGTCTTCAGATAAATAAGAACTACCCATTCCCTAATGTCAGCATATAAACCACAAATTGAATATCGAGATCTTAAACTGTTATTTTCATTTAATTTAAGTTATGGAAAAAGTTTAGAATGATCTAACACCCCGCACAAAAAAATAATAATAATAATAAAAATAAACCCAGAAAATGATATGCTTAATTATGTCTTATCAGTACAACTCATGAGAAAATTCTTAGGTAGAAATACGTTTGTAGAAATGTGATTTTGACTTGAATATTTGTAAATTAACATCAACAAAGACAACCATATAATTATCACAGTATGGAGTATTTTTAGAATAAAAGGGGATCCTAAAATAATTAAACATATATTAGCTTTATATTAATTGACAAATTGTGTTATTTTGGTGAATCTATATAGTAATTCTTTAAAAAATTGTGCTGAAAACAAATTTTTAAATAATATTTATGCATGAAGGCAATGCAAAATAATTTTCATATAGCTTATCTTAATTTTAGAAATAACAGAGTAGAAAATTTATTCTTGGTCCATATTGAAGAACTTGAATCATTTTTAAAAAATCATATTCCTCTTTAACATCGTGTCACTGGTATTTTTCCAAAGAATATATTTCTTATTGCAGTATGGCATTATTAGTATTAGTTTTCCATGAAATTATGTTCAGTATTATTTTTCTAAAAATATTTGACTCTGCTCTAGATAGTCTTAATGGAGAAAATATTTTCTCTGTAGATGTTGGTTACCTGGAAAGTTCAGGGCACATTCTTGCTAATTAGAAAACACTTTCATTTGTAATTTTTAAAATGAAAATTTGAAAATAGTCCAGTCCAAATATTTTCATTGGTACTGATTTTTTAAATTTTAAATGTTTACTGAGCAACTTTGACAAATATTCTTATAAGAAAAATAAATTGGTTATTATTTATATTTCTTTTAACTTTTGCCAAATTTAGATGCTACAAAATTATAAAAGTATACATGTGTCCAGTTGAATATAGAAATTGTATTTTAATGACTCCTCTTTCATGCCAAGATACTTCTAAGAGAACTATAAAATTTCAGATTTTTGTAAACTTTGAGTTGTCATGATATATTTGCTGCAGTTTGTCCAATGTTTTTGTAGGAATAAATGTTGATGTCTTTCCCACTGAAAACTCAATTCTCAACAAATGCAGTAGATTGAAAGCTTTAACTGCTATATTTTAATACTCCTGCATTAATTTAATCAAATTTTAATTTGATTAAATTAATGCATAATAATAAATAATTTGATTAAAGATTTTTAACTAATTTTGAAACCAATGTATTAGAGATATAAAGGACTCATTTATAAGATATTTCATCTGAGTTATATGATAATTATGCTGATTTCCAAGATAATTCTTCAAAGTTACAAACATTTTAAAGTCTGATTGATGACAAGTAACATTGAGTGGAAGTGATTCTTTGCCACTCTGAAGAAATTATTTTAAATTCATCAACTGCTTTGTCACAAAATTTTGAGGCACACTCTTTGAAAATATACTAAAAACTGTAAATTTTGACAACTGGAACTTCTATTTAGATAGGATATTTCAACTTGTTTGAGCACAATTGTGAATTTTATGTGTACTGCAATTAACTCCAAGTATATTTCTGCCATTTTTACAAAAGAGTATTCTTCACCAAAAGTGTCCACAAAGTTACCTATTTTCAATGGAACTGGTGGCTTCTATCTATTTTGTCAAGTCCACTGGTCATACTCTGTCCTCCTCCTGCTTGAGTGTTCAAGTGTTTGAACACAACTGAACAACCTGTCCACTTTCACCTCATACTACCTGTGCAAATTATGAAAACCTTATATTCCTCAGCATGTTCATTTGCAAAATAAAGATAACACTAATTTTTTGCTCAGATGTTGTGGTTATCCTCTTTAATTCTCACACTAATATTCTTTTAGAAATGATTTTGCTTATACTCTTGCCTCTCTAAAATCTATTTTATGAAAAGTAGAAGGCATATGTTTTTTAAAGTGTGTATCATGTCAGAACCACACTCCATCCTCCATTGCGTCATTTACTTGCCCCAAGAATGAAATATCTAGCCCCATTTCAGACTGTGGTCTCCTTCATTCATTATGCTACCATCACACTGATCTTTTTCTGCTAGGAATGTTTGCATTTTTTGCTGTATAACACACTTCTCCAAAATTTAGGGATTTAAAACAAAAAATTATCTTATGTTTGCAAGTTGGGATTTCCAGTAGAGCTTGGCTGAATGCTCCTTTTGTTGTGTATGGCATATTCAAATGGCCACTGCACTGGGGGCTCCAAAGTACCTTTTATGTTCAGGTCCCCCAGTGGATTGGCAGAAGGGCTGTAGTCACTGGGGCTTCTCTTTACTTGTCTCCCATATTCTCAGGCCCTCTTCTTATGGTCTCTCCAGAAGGAGTAATGAAGGTTACTTGTTAGAAAACCAAGCAGAAACTGCCAGTCCTCTGAGAGATTAACCTGGAACTGGCCCAGCCTCATCTCTAATATACTTTATTGGTCAAAGCAGTTGCAAGCCCATTTAGACTAAAGGGGAGGGTAAATAGATATCACCTCACAATGGGAACAAGGTCTAACAATTTGCCACCTTCTTTAATTTACAATAGAAGTATTCCAAGATCATTCCTGCTAAGTACGTTTCAGACTTGTCCCTGACTCCAGGACTCATGACCCCAAATCTTTCCGTGGCTGAATTCTCCAAATCTCAGCTCAATAATCACCTCCTCATTACAGAAAAAATTTTCTAACTTCCATGTCTAACTGTACTTCCCCTCAACATTATATGTTATACATAATCTGTTTTCTTTTCTTCTGAAAATACCTTATGATCTGCTGCCTTCCACTGGAACGTCAACCTCGTAAGAGCAGAAACTCTGTATTGCCAATCCTGTGGTTCTAGAGCCCAGAATGGTGCTTGACAGAATTTGTTCTGTAAAACTTTTCTGAGTGAATAAATTATTTATGAATATATAATCTGTCTATAGAAACAAAGAAATGTATAATTATCTTAAATACAGTTTTGTTATTATAGTGTATGCAAATTTTCTGAGTATAAGATGCTTATATATACATATATACCCATATTATATATGACATTCTTTTTATTTAAATCTATTTCCTATTGATTAAAGATAAAATGGACATAATAGGTGGGAAGGTAATACTTTTACAGTTATATAATGGTACATTTTTCTCTATTAACATATTGACATGAGATGGCTAGGATTGTGGCTCAGTGTCGTAGAGCGTTTGCTTGGCACTTGTGAGGCAGTGGGTTTGATTCTCAGCACCACATAAAAATAAGTAAAATAAATTTATTAAACAATATTGACAGGAATTTATTTGGATGACACTTGTGTCCAAAATTACTTCTTGCTTGTAAGGAAAGGAAGAGCTTTTGGGAAAATTATACAAATTTTAAGTGTCTTTTCAGAAGTAATGCTATAAATTTTAAAGTGTCTTAAAATTAATGTCACCTATACATACTGGTTTTCAAATTTTTCCTTGCTGTGTTAAAGAATACTTACTAGTATCAGGGAAAAAGCTAAGTTATTTAGTACAATAAGTAGTTCTAAAAAAGCAGTATGTACTAAATAAAAGACATGGGAAATGTGGCTTCATGTTTCTTCAATATTAACAAGCATCTGATGTTTTCTGAGAAAATAAATTTAGATTTTACAGAAATAATAAAATGCCGGGAAGGTGTTTTGAATTGCTTATTTTGTTATGCATTTGATTTCACCTTCCTTTTTTACACCCAACACATTCAAGACTTTCTAAACAACCAAGTAATAACTTTAAGTTTATAAATAGGAATGTATTCAAGACCAAAGACTAGTGAGTAGAGGATAAATCATCTTTTATTTTATAATATAGCCAAAGCTGTGGCAAATCACTAATCATTTATTAAAGAAATGAACTTGTTTTTTTTTTAATGATTTCCTCTAGAGGCTATTACAGCTCTTATTCAACACTTATTCAATTTAAATGCTAATAATACACTGCCTTGCAAATGAGACTCTTAAACTTAGTTCAACTTACTAGATATTAATTTAGTTGAATAATTATTTACTACATCATTTTGTTCACAGTGTTTTCTTTCACAGGTTTATGCTGGCTTATTAAAGTGAGATACTAAACCAGCCTTGATTGGAATCATATGCACAATTACATTAATGTATTTGAAGCTTTAATTAACTCTTAACCTCCAATTTTGTGAATTTTTTGATTCATATCATTTTTATTGTGACCTTCTCATTCAGCTCTTTTTCTTCCTTTATCTCCTCTTTTTACTTCATTGATAACTTGTCTTTTTGAGTAAGTTATCTTGATGTTTAACTTTAGAGTTAACATTAAACCTTCCATTTTTGGTGAGTCGGTCAGACAGATTTGAAATATGACATAAAACATTCCCCCAAAAGAGATGAGCTCATTAGTGTCATTCAAGTACATGCTAGACATATAGTCAGGAAACAGTTTCTTTTGGCTTAATGAGAAAAACAACCTGGCACTTGGTTTTAAGTAAAGTAAAATTTGCAGGATAACATCTCCATAAATGCTGTACTAGTTGGCTGAGGAAAATATAACGTGTGTTAAAACATTTCTGTTTTTAGATCCAGGTTAGCAAAATGTTTTTGCAATTAGACATAAATGGGCTCCATTTTTCTATAATTAATTTGCTTGCACATTATAAAATTATTGAAACTAATAGTCATTTCTAGTAAAATCATAAATTTAATAGAAAGTGTGACCACAATGGTGCAAAATTCTTATTGCCTGGGAAAGAGGAAAGAAAGAACTAATATTTTGAGCACATACTATGAACAAACACTGAGATAAATAATTTCTAACATATCAATAATATTATTTTATTTACTACAACATTGGAATTAGCAGTTCATAGTTCATATAAAGAAATGTCAAGTAACTTGCCTAAACCCCAGAAGTGGGAATTAGCCAAGGGAAATCTTAAGCTTTAGTCTCCTCAGTTCTAAAGTTGGGGAATTTTCTTATAAAACCAGATACTTCCTATTTACTTTATATATGATGCACTCTTTTATTATACTGTGCATGATTGTTCATGCAATTACTTATCATGGATTATATCAGAAATTCAGGTGAGTTTCATGTAAGAATAAATTATGAATTTTTTTTAAAGATAAGAGAGAATTTTTAATATTTAATTTTCAGTTTTTGGTGGACACAACATCTTGATTTTATGTGCTGCTGAGGATTGAACCTAGTGCCCCATGCATGCCAGGTAAGCACGTTACCGCTTGAGCCGTATCCCCAGCCCATGAATTTTTTAATGCAGGTATGATAGTATTCTTCAAAGTTATTTCTATAGTGCTCAGAAATTAAGGGCAATTTTACAATGGTACTGAAAAAACTGTAAAAATGATACTAAATTGCAGAGAAACAATTATCAATTTGCATGTTGTAGTATTGTACAGAGAACCTGAAATTAGTTTTTAAGCTGAAGGAAACTATTTCTCTTAATATAGAAAATAACATAGCTCATGTCTAAGTAGCATTTGCTAAATCATGAGCTTAGGCAAGATGATTCAAGAAAAGTATAAAATTCTGCAAAAGATTCTTCTAGCTAAAGCTGAGTTCTTCTAAGTACTGGGTCAGCCAGGTCTTGGACAGACTTTTCTGCTCTTGAGTTAATTGATATGAGGTAATTGATTTCCTAGCCAGAAGCCAAGATTATTTCCAAGATAGAACAAAGGCTTATGGTCTCTTTCAAACTAATTTAAATCAGGGTTATAACTTTCCAGTGCACTAAAGATTGCAAGCTTTGTGTTTTTAAGCTAGGTCTGTAACTATCCTCATATATATACCTAAAATACTCACATCTTTCCTGTATCTCAGTATCATCATCTCTAAAACACTACATTTCTCTAAGCAACATCTTTCTGATCTTTAAAACTATTGAATGTAAAATTGCTGAGGAAGCCATTTGGGATAATTGCATAAAAATGAAAAATAGGGAGGAGAAGAGGAGAGAGGGGGAAGAGAGAAGGGGAGAATGTAACAGGTATGTATCAAGAGAGATTTAAATATGAAACTAGGGATTTTTCTATCAAACAAGGATTTACATATTGCACAAAAAATGTTGTCTTTCTATGAATTTAGAATATTTTGCTGTTTTTCGCAGTCATCATCAGAATACAAATTAATTGGATTACATGGCTTAAAATTCATTAAAAATATTGGGAGCAGGAGGCAGGGAATGTGGAATTCTGTTATAGGAGTAGGACCTGGTATTAATCAAAACCCTGATTTTTTTCAACTCAACTTCACAGACAAGTCCTAAATAATTCTCTTTATTCTCTAGGTTAGATTGAACCCTGACCCAGAGAGTTGCCCTAATCCAATTGGGATAAAATATAAATGCAACCTGGGCTTTGAAGGACACTTTGTAAGCACAAAGGCATGTTGTGTTTGAAGCATCAGGACCAGAAATTACTTGAATCTGATTTTCAGGTGTACAAGAGGCCAATGTAATATGAGGATTACAAGAAATGGAAAATGTGAGATGTGCTGCAGAATCTTGGATGGACTTGAGCATGTGATGGATGTATGGAGAAGAACAGCCAAGGAGCTGTTAAGTGAGGACTGGAGCCACAGCCCAAATCTTGGCAGTCAAGGGAAAACATCAGCAGATTTGGAAAAGATTAAACAAATCACAATAAAAAGGTAACTCTGGGGATGAGGTTTCACAGATAACCAGTGATAAGCTGGATTACACAGGTTCTGAAGATCTAAAGAATATAAAGGAAAATATCAGAAAATCTGTTATTTAAATATAATATAAATAATAAATTTGTCTTTTAAAATTATAATTTTCTATTTAGAAGAGACTTCACCATTTTCCTACTAAGAATCATTTTTCTTGGTTCATGCTTGTCTACTAAAATAAAATGAACTCTTTCATAAGCACTATAAGCCTTCTAGGTATACTCTGTTTAACTACTACTCCACCCATTCTTTATTTTTCTTGAGAGAGAGATTTTTAATATTTATTTTCTTTTAGTTTTTGGCAGACACAACATCTTTGTTTGTATGTGGTGCTGAGGATTGAACCCTGGCCGAACGCATGCCAGGCGAGCGCGCTACCGCTTTAGCCACATCCCCAGCCCCTCCACCCACTCTCCATCATCTTTCACAATATTTTCTGTAAAAAACCTGCCTTTGTCAATCACCTCCCTGTCCTCCCTTGCTTACAGAATTTCCTTTATTTTTAATTTTGCTTTATTTTTGTCTAAATACTACTCCCTACTTGAGATTTCTTGCATAAACTCTTCCTTGATTCTTGCAAAAGATATCACCTTACCTCTTTTGTTCAATTGCAAGACTATAGTTTCTGATTGTAGCAGCTTAGGAGTGATCTCCTTACATTTCCTACTGACAGACTTGTACAGCTGTCAGTTTCTCCAAATGGCCTATATTTTGCTTAAAACATAAATTGTCTTGTTTATCTCTGCATTCTCAAATGCTTAACAAGCATGTCTCTCTAATTCTGCTTCAGTTGATGTGGAAGGCTTTTGGTTTAGGAGATGACAATTTAAATTAAAAAAACAAGAGCCTCTGGTTACTATTATGGCTTTGATTTGTCATCCTGTAATCTCAGCATGTGGTAAAGTATTAAGCATGCATGGTGATACCAATGTTTCCAAAACCTTAGAAGACAGAATGAGGCATATGTGTAATTTAAAAAACTTATCTCAGTCTTTTTCTTGATATTTTCTTTAATAAAAATGGTCATTCTAAACATCAAAAGAGCTGAAAATACAGGTTGACAGTGTTATACCTGTGTCCATTTCTACCTTGATCATGAATTTTGAAAAGATATTAATCTTTTCAAGATTCAATTTCCTAAGCTAATGATTAAAGGTGTCACAGCTCAGTTTTACACTCCCATGATTCTATTGCATTCAAACTAATATAAATAGTAATTTAAGATTTATATTCATCTTCTTGGTTTTTATGTTGTATATGTATTCATGTTTAACAGACATCCCAGTTCAAAGGGGCTTGGTGAGGAAGAGTCATGGCCTAGACACTGGAGGCTGACAGTTAGGCACCACCTAATAATCAAAGAACAATGATCATCTCTCAGCCCTCAAAGCACTGACTAAAATGATGTTTGAGGTACCCAAGGTGGGTGAGGGAAAATGCTTTGGGCTGGCATTGAGGGAAGCCTAGTTGTTCCATATCTTAGCTCAGGCTGCAGTAACAAATACCGTCGAAAGGGTGGCCTAAATGACAGATATTTACTTATCACAATTCTAGAGGCCTGGAGTCCCAAGATCAAGGTTCTAGTGAGTTAGGTTCCTGATAGAGCCTCTCCTCTTGACATGGCTTCCCTCTTGTTGTGTCCTCACAGGGAGGGGGCACATTCAAGACCTCATCTAAACCTAGTTTATTAATCAGCTTTGTGTGCTATGACTAAAATACAGAAAAAAAAAAACTTAAAGGAAGAAAAGTTTATTTTGGCTCATGATTTCAGAGGTCATCGTCAGCGAGTTCCACTGTTCTGGGCCTGAGGAAAGGAAGAACATCATGGCAGAAGGGCATGCAACAAACAAACAAAACAAATACTCTCTGCTCATGGCAGCCAGAAAGGAGGCAAATACACAGTGACCTCTTTCTTCCAGCCATACCCCGCCTGCCTGGTTATCACCCAATAGTCCATTTACATCATTAATCTATCAAATGGATTATTTCACTGATGAGGTTATAGCCTTCCCAACCCTATCATTTCCTAAAAACCTCACTTCTAGACCTTGCTTCATTGAAGACGGTGCTTTTGATACATGAACTTTTGGGGGAAACTCTCCATATTCAAATCATAAAACCCAATGACTTCCCAGACTCCCAATTTACACTGAGTTACCATTACATTGAGGGTAAGGGCTTCAACATATGAATTTGGGAAAAAGCACAAACATTCCATCATAATATTCCATGATTACTTCCTTCAGATGAATGTAATAATCCTAGGCTATAATTAAGACAAATAAAAGCCAAGCCACTGAAGATGTTTCCTGGGAAGTGTAGAGCTGCTGTCTGTCACATAGACACAGTGAAGATGGCTAAAGCAAGTACATTCTTTACTGGGCCAGTCCCTAACTATACTGGAGTTGGTTGCTTGAGGACAGGAATCAGTGAATCAACACACTAGGTAGGAACATGAAGGCAAACCGTGATCCTAAAATTCCCGATTCACCTTCTCCACTTGAACCAGAAAGGGACAAGAAGAAAGTGGCCCATGTCTTAAACAGGTGTGCAGCATCAGTGAGCAAAGCAAAAAAATAAAAACAAACAAAAAACCCTTATTTTGTTAATTTTTTAGTCTACTCATTGGACTTTTCCTCTAGCTTCATTAATTTTTTGTTAGTGTTTAGAGAAAATGAATGATAAAACACCATAAAGATGATTTTAAAGATGCTTCCAGCTTTAATTTTCTTTATTTTCAAAATACAAATATAACAATAGGAGTGAAAATAGAACAGGTAGACTTCTGTTAACATAATTAAATTTTCTACAGCTCTGAAATTTGTCTTTAGGAAAGGGAAGATTAATGAAAGGTGAAGTTAAAGTCAGGCTGTGTGCAAAAGAGAAATCCTTTATAAATTTCATTCTTATAGCTTATAGTACTTTATTTTTATATTCAGCAATATATTTGTATTTAGAATATGAATTTTAAAAAGCTATTTTTTCAAAAAAGAAAATCTCTGATTTATGTCTTTGGAACATGAAAGACAACTCTGGAGGAGAAAAGCCTGAATGATATACCTTGCTTATGGTGTGGATGCTCCTAAAACTTAAGAAAAATAATCAGACTTCTAGGAGATTAAAGACTTAAGAAATGCCCACTTCCCCCCATAACAATATAATGTCATTGTTTTTATTCCTGGTCCCAAGTTTAGCTTGATTTATGACTTACCATTTGTTAAAGACTTTGGATGTCCTGCCTGGACTCCCAGAAGTTGTTTCCGTTTTTCTATAGTCAGCATGTAAAATGTTATTTAAAGCCTATATTTTGCTGTTAAATATTACCCAGTGGTTTCTGTTCTACTAAGGTCAAATTTCAACCCAACTCCTTAGTCTTCCAGACCTGGAAACCTTTTAGCAAGCTCTATTTCTGTTTCCTCCTCCTGAAAAAGTTGTTCTGCAGACAGAGGTTTGGCATCTGTCTACCTTCCTCACATATTATATATTACTTATGGAACCTCTGGAAACCTGAAGTGCCTGGTAGATGGAAAGCAAGGGATGGATGAGAACCCCTGCATGTCTGCACTGGATATTTAATGTTTCTCTGTTCATGAAGTGAAAATGTAGAAATGGAGGCTTGAAATCAGATATTTTAAAAGGGGTTAATATAATGCATTTTAAATGTTCAGTGAATTCATTGCTGAACTTCAGAATCAACTTTGAAACTTGTTCTATAGTGCATTTCAATGCATTTTTGGAATGATCAGATTTATTTTCTGGTGATCCTAATTATTTTTTCTAGTTATGATATGATCCTTTATTTTTAGTCACATTAGGTCAAAATTCAGTTAATTATTGCTTATGTTGGCCATGTCCACTTCAGTGTGTGATTATATCATGTTCTGTGTACTGCATTGCTGACATGGTTTGGTAACCTGAGGGTAGGCACTGGAAAAACCAATCATGTCTATAATTGAAAGAAATATTAAAAATTATTTCAAAGGTTATATGCAGTTTTAAAAAGTACAATACTATTTTAATGCTTCCTATTTTCAATAAGCTTTGCTATACTTACATTTTATTTATCTTCAGAATCCTCTACATGAAAAAATAACTTAATGTTGCTATGAGTCTTATTTTAGGGGGAAGAAAAAATTTACAGATAAGTAATTCTGTTTTTCTGTTTCCTTTTTCTCCAGGCCACTACCTACTCAAGAGTATAGGTAATACTGAAATCTTCACCTCTTTTTCTGATTTATTATGATTATTTACACTGTTACAGTAGAAACATGGTTAGTAATATGACTAAATAAAAAACATTTCTGGCTTAATTTTCACATGTATAAAAATAATACCAGTGGATTGTGTGAATATGTGTACCATTTTGTAATAATCTTAAACTGTAATTTATACCCAATTTTAGTACTGTTTTCTTATTTTTCTCTTGTTTCAATTGTGCCAATTCAAGCTTGTGTGAATTACTGTAAACCTTATTTGGGGTCACTCAGATTTGCTGTTTTCAAATTTATATATTCCAACTATTTTGTTTTAGATTTGTTTATTCAGTTATCTTTATTATATCTTCTTCCTTTCCTCATATATGTTCTATAGCTTCCTGCATTTTTCTTAATAATAACAACAATATGGGTATGGATTTGATTCTGAGAAAAACTTTGACCCTATATCCCTATTATATATAAAGCTTTTAAGTTGTTTTTTTTTCTAAATAACCTAAAACTGCAGCATTATTTCTTATTTCTTCCAAAACTCCTTTGGATAAATTTATCTTTATTTTTGAAAATTTATTTTGTTAGTACTTCACAGTTCATTGTACTTTTTAAAAAAATTGTTCTCTATACTGTCATTCCATTTTTACTGATATTTCTTGTATTTCTGAATTTTTTTCCCAATTTTAATACTATGTTGTAAGCAAATTAATAGATTTTATGTGTAACACTATTTTGAAAACTTCATCCTTCTTTTTCTTTTTTTTATTAGCTACACATGACATTACAATGATCTTGGCAATTCATATATTTGAATCAATTGGGGTATAATTTCTCATTTTTCTGATCATCCTTATTTTTCTAAATTATTATTATTAGCTATTCTTCTTGAGGTTATTTTGTTCATTGCATATTTTCTTCCTGGTTAGCCTCATTTTCAAACAACTTACTTTACATATGGCTATTTTTTAATTTATTTTTTAAATACATGACAGTGGAATGCATTATTCTTATTACACATATAGAGCACAATATTTTCATATCTCTCTTTGTATATTAAGTATGTTCACACCATTTCATGTCTTCATACATGTACCTTGGATAATGATATCTATCAAATTCCACGATCATTTCTAACCCCCTGCTTCTCTCTTCCCCTCCCACCCCTCTGTTCTATCTAGAGTTCCTCTATTCCTCCAAAAAAACCCCACCAAATGCCTAATGTATTCTCTGATATAAGGTGATTGACCCATAATGGGAGAGGGAGGGGGAGCATAGAAGGAATAAATGTGGCTATTTTAAAAACCTTATTTTAAGATTTTGTTTTGTTTTTGATTTTGTTTTGTTCTGGTGGATTCAAGGAAAGAGTCTTTGTGTTTTGGTAGAAAAATTAAAACGTTTGTTCATGATGTGCTAACAGATTTATTGGTTTTTTTTATTTTTTAAATTACAAATAATAATTGTGTATATTTATGAGGTGCAATGTGATGTTTCACTACCTGAAGATCTTTGAGGAATATTTTCAGCATGTGTCCATTGGTAGAATATTTCCTTAATTCTTACATATCTGATGTTTCTCTTTTGCTTTAGAAATGAAAAATAGAATTTCTTAGTAAAAAAGAAAAAAAGATTATTCATTAATAAAATTTTCCACTGAAAACTCTAGTCTTTGGTATATCAATTTCAATTTTTATGAAATAAAGAAAAAAATGAAGCAGGCTTTATTTTTTAAAAAATTTAATTATTTTTACTGGCTCATAAAAATATAAAATTATACATATTAGTGGGGTACTATTTAATATGTTGATAAAGATATGCATTATATAATGTTTAGATCAGATTTAAAAATATCTGTCACCTTAAACATTATTTTTTTATGGGGAAAACATTCAAAATCTCTTCCAATGCATGTTCTTAGCATTTTTGTCAAAGATCAGTTGATGATTACAGTTTTCTAGTATATCTATGTATATCTTGTGTGTGTGTATATGTGCATTTCATGTGTATGTATTTAAATTGTTGTAGATGGACACAATACATTTATTTTATTTATTTATTTTTATGTGGTGCAGTGCTGAGGATTGAAATATGTGCCTCACATGTGCTAGGCAAGTACTTTACCACTAAGCTACAGCCCCAGCCCCTTCACAGTATATTTTGGAGTTAGGTAGTGTTATGTCTACTACTTTGCTCTTCTTTCTCAATATTGCCTTGGTTAGTTAGGATGCTTCTGTTCCATACAATTTTTAGGATTATTTTTTCTAGTATCTTGAAGAATGTCATTGGTATTTTGATATTTCATTGAATCTGTGAATTGCTTTAGGTAATATGGACATTTTAATGGTATTGATTCTTCTAGTCCATGAACATGAGATATGTTTTCATTTTTTGTATTTTTAAATTTTCTTTCATCATTATTTTATAATTTTCATTGTAGAGATCTCTCACCTCATTAAAGTTTCCTTTTGTTATCATTTTTACAGCCGTTATAAATGGGATTGTTTTCTTGATTCCTATTCCATATCATTTGCTTTTGGTATTAAGTAAAACTACTGATTTTGTATTGTGCAACTTTGATGAATTCATTTATTATTTCTAATAAGTTTTTTTGGTGGATTCTTCAGGGTTTTATATACATAAGATCAGCTCATCTGCAAACAGTGATAATAAAACTTCATTTTTGCTAATTTGGATAAAATTCCCCCCAAATAACTAACAGTTTGCATTTTTCTGGTGACTGAATTTCTTATGTTCCTAGAAGTAATAAAATTCACTGGATTAAAAGACCTAAAACCTTTGAGTCCTAACTCTATGTTAGTGAATCAAATCATTCTCCTCTCATTTTATACTAAAGAAAACAAACACAAGTCAAAAGGGAGGAAAATGCATAATTAAGCCAAATTACATATAGTCAGGTGATATTTAGTACAAGCCTAAAAGTGTATTAATTTAGACCAATAAGAGTGATAACAGAGAAGAAGAAAGAAGCAAAACGTGAATTTTGGTACATGACTTATTTGTACGATATTGAGTACAAAAGGTATTAAATCTCATGTGTTGAGATGTATGCCTGGTACCAAATATATAAACTTTTCCTCTTGAAATTAATGCAGTCAAAAGAGAAACACCCACAATACTCAAAACAATTTTTTTTTAAAAAAAAATGTCTTGTCAGAATGATAACCAGGTTTATTCCCCAAAGGAAAGACCATGGTCAGTTCTGAACTGGAAGGTCATTGGTCTCAAGGACACTTCCAATATATCTGAAGTTTATGCAGAAGTTTCACTCCTTAAATGAAATATTGCTCTGATGAAGTTCAAAACTTCAAAAATGAAACCAGGAATGTTTGTTCTTTACTGATTTAATTAATACAATACCATCACTGAGGAATTGGGTTACACAAATAGAGAATATGTTTTCTTTTTTTGTTGAAAACAAATTGTACCCAAGTTTCAAAAGGCAGAGAGAGCACTAGTGTTCACCATATGAAACCACAAATAAAATAATGAAAAAGTTTGTTTTGCAGTAACTTTTTGCTGGATTTATTTTTATTATAAAAATTTGACAATTATAAGAAAACATTTATTGGAACTATTGGTACAAGGAGAAAATGTCTCAGTTATGTGTTTAGTAGTGAAAAAGAGCTCAACTGAATGTGAATTGTATGAACTTGTATAAACCAAAAGATGGGAATACTGATTGACACATTCCATCCTCTTCAAAGTGTGGATGGAATTATATAAATGATGGTCAAATTAAAACTTTAAGTTTGTGTTATTCAGTTTTTCATTGCTGTGTCTATAGTAACTGACAAGAACAATTTAAAAGAGAAGGAGTTTATTTTGACTCATGGTTTCAGTGCATTGACTACATGGGGCTGAGGCAGAACATCATGGCAGAAGGGTTTGACAGAAGAAATCTTATCAGCCAGGGCAGCTGGCAAACAGAGAGGCAGTGGGAAGAAGGGTCCAGGGGCAGATATAGTCCCCAAAGACATGCCCCCCAGGACCTACTTCCTCAAGCCATGCCTCACCCCTTGATAATTTTCACCATGATCCAGTAAATCCATTCACATTATAAATCCATCAGATAGATTAATCCACTAATGAAGTCAGAGTCCTCATGGTTATATCATTGCCTAAAAGATCCATCTCTGAATCTTTCTGCCTTGGGGACCATATTTCAACAAATGAGCTTTTTGTGGGGGGCATTCTAGATCCAAAAGATAATTTACTCTTTTTTTTCCTCATAAGTATCATGCCCAATTAATTTTTAGTGCTGAGTAATATTCCATTGTGTACAAATGCCACATTTTTTTTATCCATTCATTTATTGATGGACATCTAGGTTGGTTCCACATTCTAGCTATTGTGAATTGTGCTGCTATGAACACTAATATAGCTCTATCCCTATAGTATTCTCTTTTTAAGTCTTTTGGGAATATTCTGAGAAGGGGAATAGCTGGGTCAAATGGTAGTTTCATTCCCAGCTTTCCAAGGAATCTCCATATTGCTTTCCAAATTGACTGCACCAATTTGCAGTCCCACCAGCAATGTACAAATGTACCCTTTTCCCCACATCCTGGCCAGCACTTGTTGTTTGACTTCATAATGGCTGCCAATCTTACTGGAGTGAGATGGTATCCTAGGGTGGTTTTAATTTGCATTTCTCTGCTAGAGATGGTGAACATTTTTTCGTGTTTTTGTTGATTGATTGTATGTCCTTCTCTGAGAAGTGTCTGTTCAGATCCTGGGCCCATTTGTTGATTGGGTTATTTGTTTTCTTATTGTTTAATTTTTTGAGTTCTTTGTATACTCTGGATATTAGGGCTCTATCTGAAGTGTGAGGAGTAAAAATTTGTTCCCAGGATGTAGGCTCCCTATTTACCTCTCTTATTGTTTCTTTTGATGAGAAAAAACTTTTTAGTTTGAGTAAGTCCCATTTGTTAATTCTTGATTTTAACTCTTGTGCTATGGGTGTCCTATTAAGGAATTTGGAGCCTGACCCCATGAGATGGAGATTAGAGCCAACTTTTTCTTCTATCAGACGCAGAGTTTCTGGTTTGATCCCTAGCTCCTTGATCCATTTTGAGTTAACTTTTGTGCATGGCGAAAAAAAGGGATTCAGTTTCACTTTATTGCATATGAATTTCCAGTTTTCCCAGCACCATTTGTTGAAGGTGCTATCCTTTCTCCATTGCATGCTTTTAGCACCTTTGTCTAATATAAGATAGTTGTAATTTTGTGGATTGGTCTCTGTGTCCTCTATTCTGTACCATTGGTCTACCTGCCTTTAATTTCTTTTGTCTGTCTAATTGCTCTGGCCAGTGTTTTGAGAACTATGTTGAATAGAAGTGGTGAGAGAGGTCATCC